AAGAGAGGCAGAAAGCGAGAAATCACCCCCCAGGGGGGATGGCCACACCGCAATCCCTTCTCCTCCATTCTCCTCTCGGGATCTTGGGCACGCATGCACATGCGCCCGGCGTGAGTTTAAGCCACTGGGTCTGGGACTCGAACTGTGTTTGACCACATGGGAGTCCAGTGACATAGCCATGACGCTAATTGCTGGTCCCAATAAATAATTCTTAAAAAAACAAACAAAGTGTAGGTTGTGACGTGAATCACCGGGTCTCGTTCCCCCGTCTAGTCCAAGGAGGAAAAGAGCTGCCACGTTACCGTAGACGGCTTGGATGCCGAGAAGTGCTACTCCTTCCGGGCTAGAATAAAGGCAAGCGAGGTCAGCTACGGCTCCGCCACTCACCCCAGCGACTGGTCGGAGACGGCGCTCTGGCAGGGAGGCCAGCCGAGAGGTAATGCTCGTTACGCGGCAGCTCCACGCGTGCAAGCGTCAGCGTTCTCTCTTCCCGGGAGAGGTGTGTGGGGCCTGCCTGGGAGCACGGGTGGCCCCCATTCCTCCTCCACCTCGAAAGCCATTGTTCTCCTTGTTCCTGGCTCTCGGCAGCTTCCCTCCCTGGGCTCATTTTCATGTTCCCTTCTGTGGACACGGCACGAACCACAGGCAGCGTTTACAGAAACCTGGCTGTGGGGCCGGCGGGTGGCGTGGTGGTTAAGGTGCTGGGCTCCCACATGACCCAGCATGGTTTGAATCCTGCACATGGGGGCTTGAAAATCACACCGGGCGCGTGTGCGTGGGAGCCCAAGATCCCGAGAGGAGAATGGAGGAGAAGGGATTGTGGCGTGGCCATCCCCCCTGGGGAGCGATTTCTTGCTTTCTGTCTCTCTGTCTGTCTGACGAGCGCACGCGCCCTATAGCAAAATCCTCTAAAAAAAAAAACTAAAAAAGAAAACTAAAAAGAGGAGGAAGGCCGCGCTGGGGCAGGGTGTGGTGGGCGGAGTGACGACCACTATGTGGAACACGTGGAGCCCTCCCTGCGCTTTGTTTTAGATCGGTGTCCGGAGAAGGAGCCGCTCTCTCCCAGGTTCATCTTACTGTCCGGGCTGGCCACTGTCCTGGCGCTGTCTCTGCTGTCGCTGTCCGTGTGGAAACTGTGGAGGTAAGGACGGGCCCACGGCCTCAGCACACGGGGGTGAGGACTCGCAGGGCTGCAGGGGGGCCGCGTGGAAGACAAGCCGAGTGACCGTCACGGTCTTCCCCAGCCTCGTGTCCCGGGGTGCCTTGCAAGTCGGTGCAGAGGAACGAGGCGGCGAGGGTGCAGGGCAGGCAGCCCCCTCACGAGAGAGCCTTGGCGGGCACACACACGCGTGTCCCCCGCTGGGGGAGACGGACGGCCCACGCCCGCGAGGGCCACAGAGGGACCGAGTCCCTTCACGGCCACAGTGACCTGTGCTTGGGACGCTGGTTTTTCTAAAGCGTTACTTATGGGGCCAGCAGGTGGCGTAACGGCTAGGTCGCTGGGCTCCCACCTGGTCGACCGCGGTTCAATCCCCAACTTGGCGACTTACAACTCATGCTGGGGTGGGACCAGCAGGTGGCGTGGTGTTGAAGGCGCGGGACTCCCACGTGGCTGACTGCGGTTTGAGTCCTGGCCTGGCGGCTTGCTTTCTCACTTTCCCTCTCTCTCTCCCTCTGTCTCTCTGTAGTCGAATGAAAAAATAATAATGATAACAATAAATAAAGCTATATAAGTAATTCATTAAAAAACAAAAGAGGGACCAGCAGGTGGCGTGGTGGTTAAGATGCTGGACACTGCCACATGGGGGTGATTTCTCGCTCTCTCACCCTCTCTCTCTCTCTCTGTGTGTCTCTGGTGCGTACATAGAAAAAAGTACACTACGATTTTTGTTTAAAGAATGATTTTTTATTTAACTGTATTTATTATTACTATTACTATTCTCGAGTTTCATCAGAGAGAGACAGGGAAAGGGTGAAAGCAAGCCACCAGATCCGGGACTCGAACTGTAGTCGGCCACGTAGGAGTCCAGCACCTTTCATCACCATGCCACCTGCTGGGCCCTAAAATATGTTTTTAAAAGAATTATTTTATTTAACTTTATTTATTTAAATTTGACCAGAGAGGGACAGAGTGATTGAGAGAGAGAGAGAGAAAGTAAGAAAGCAAGCCGCCAGGTCCGGGACTCGAACTGCAGTCAGCCATGTGGGAGTCCAGTGCCCTTAACCACCGCGCCACCTGCTGACCCCAGCACTAAAAACTTAAATAACAATAATAATAATAACGATACAGGTTGGTGTTGGTCAAACACCACGGTTCTGAGCCCGTAACGTCAAACCCTGGGCTGGCTTCCCGTGGACAGAGGTGGGACCCTGGGGACTTGAGGGGGTCACGCCTTGAAGTCGGGGCTGCCGTCCCGGGAGCTCGGGGTGTCGCGTCCGTGACCCTGTCCCGGGGTCTGCCCGAGGCGGGCCTCAGCCCGTGCGCAGGCTCCAGCCCCCCGACCGCACTGTCTCCGTGTCCGCCGCAGGATGAAGAGGCTCCTCGTGCCCACGGTGCCTGACCCGAAGTCCACCTTCCCTGGTCTGTTCGAGCAGCACCGGGGAGACTTCCAGGTATGGCCAGCTCCGAGCTCATCGCTCAGGGCAGCAGGGCACTGCGTCGGCCCCAGCACACCCCACACAGCCCACACGGGGCGGGCTCTCTTCTTACTCTGGGATCTGTGTACGTGCGCTCACCGGGAGAGCGAGACGTCACCCCCGGGGCGGGCTGTGGCCGCACCGCAGTCCCTCTCCCCTGGTCTCCTCTGCGGCTTTTCAGTGTGTATGTGCATGTACCAATGCAATTTTTTAAAAAAATGTTTTGCTATACGCCATGTGTGCTCACCAGAGATAGAGAGACAGAGAGACAGAAAGTGAGAAATCACCCCACAGGGGGGGATGGCCACCCCTCAATCCCTTCTCCTCCATTCTCCTCTCGGGGTCTTGGGCATGCACGCACACGCGCCCGGCGTGAGTTTAAGCCACCGGATCCAAGACTCGAACCGCGGTCGACTACATGGGAGTCCAGTGACAGGGCCACTATGCTAACTGCTGGTTCCCTCTTCCTACTATATTTTATAATGCTAGCATGTGTTTGCTTTTTACAAGAACTATTTATTTTATTATTATTATTATTTTAAATTTAACTAGAAAGAGACAGAGAGAGAGAGAGAGAGAGGAGAGAGAGAGAGAGAGAAAGGGAAAGTGAGAAACCAAGCCGCCAGGTCCAGGATTGGAGCCACAGCCCACCATGTGGGAGTCCAGAGCCTTAACCACGACACCCTCTGCCAGCCCTAGACTGGTTCTGGTTTGTTTTTTTTTAAATAAACTTTCTTAAAGAAAATACTTGTTTATTTAATTTTATTTATTCATTTTTATTTTAATTTTACCATAGACAGAGCGAGGAAGTGAGAAAGCAAGCCACCAGGTCCAGGATTCGAACCATGGGCAGCCATGTGGGCGTGTCCAGCACCATAACCACCACGCCACCTGCTGGCCCCCAGACCGGTTCTTGAACCACCTAGCCGGCCATGTATGATCCAGCCTCCCTAGCCTGCACGCCACCTGCTGGTCCGAAACCCAGCTGTGTTTTGCAAGAACGAGCTCAGACGTGGACACCTCTAGTGGGTCCCAGAGCCATGCCCCGCGGTTACCAAGGCTCTGTCGGCCCATGGCCGGCTTTGAAACTCGCCTATCATTCAGGCATCTTCCCGAGCGTTTTTCTGGCCTCACCGTTGGTGCAGGGTCTCAGAGCGACGTGTTCCTTTAAGCCAGCCTGGGCGGGCCCCTGCACCCCAGTCCAGGGGACAACCCAGCCTATCTGCAGGATCTCCCCAGGAAGTTCTGATCTGACGGTCTCCCCGCTGCAGGGCTGAGAGCCAGCCTCCCACTTCCCCTCTCAGACCTGAGGTGGCTGCTTCACCCCTGCAGAGAGAGGCCTGCCCGGGGCTGGGCACCTGCTGGAGGGGCCAGAAGAGGGGACCGGGGCCCAGGCAGGGAGCTGACGGAGGGGGAGACCCCGGCGTGAGTTTCCAGTCCTCCCTGGTCTGAG